GGAATGTGTTAATACTATCTTAGGCATTAGTTTTTCTACATGGCGTCTTTTAGATTGAGATATAGACCTTCTATACATATTTTCTTCAGGGTTTTTATCATGAATGGATGTTGGATTTTGTCAAATGCTTTTTCTATGTCTATTGAGATGATCATGAGATTTTTGTCCTTGCTTCTGTTTATGTGGATTATTAAATTTATTGATTTGCATATATCAAAGCCCCCTTGCATCCCTGGAATGAATCCTTCTTGGTCATAGTGTATGATTTTTTTGATAATGTATTGCATTCTATTTATACAATACAATAATACCTCAGTTCACAAATGCTTCTGTTTGCAAACAGTTCAGTTCACAAACAAAAGTGTTCAACAGAATTTTGCTGTGGTGTATTAAATTTATTGATTTGCATATATCAAAGCCCCCTTGCATCTCTGGAATGAATCCTTCTTGGTCATAGTGTATGACTGAAACCTCCACAAACTGTAAGCTAAATAAACCTTTCCGTCCTTAATTCTGGGTGTCAAGTATTTTGTCTCAGCCACGAGAGAAAAGTAACCAAGACAAGTATCATGTCATCTGCAAATAATGATAATTTAACTTCCTCCTTTCCTATCCTTATTCCTTTTATTTCTTTTTCTTGTCTTAATTGCTCTGGCTAATATTCCCAGAACTATATTGGAGTGATGATAGTGGACATCCTTGTCTTGTTCCTGATTTTAGAATGAAAGCTTCCAGTTTGGGGCCATTTAGTAGTATGTTAGCTCTTAGATTGTCATAGGTGGCTTTTATCAGATTGAGATAAAAGACTATCTAATCCAGTTTTCTGTAGGGTTTTTATCATGAATGAGTGTTGGATTTTGTTAAATGCTTTTTCTGTGCCTATTGAGATCATATGATTTTTGTCTTTTGCTCTGTTGATACGGTATATTCATTGATTTGTGTATGTTGAACCATCACATGGAATAATTTTGATTATTTGCATTTGTTTAAGCATACAGTGTACTGTAATATAATATAGCTGATCTGTTTGTGGCAGTGGGATATTGAGGTTTTCCCAGTACAGTCATATTGGTGTTTGTCTGATTTTTCTATTCAGTAATGTTTATTTTGTGAAGTTTGGCTCTCGTGTTAGGCATGTATATATGTTAATATATCTTCCTGTTGAATTGTTCCCTTAATTAATATGTGGTAACCTTCTTTGTCTCTTCTGATCCATTTTGGCTTGAATTCCACTTTGTCTGAAATTAAGATAATTGTGCCTACCTGCTTTTCTCTGGTTTCCCTCTGCATAGAATATTGTTTTCTATCCTTTGATATTTAATCCATTAATTTCTTTTAGAATTTAATGTTTTTCTAGTATAGCACATTTCGTTGGTTTTGTTTCTTGGTGTATTCTGCCAATTTGTGTCTTTTGATTGGGGAAGTAAGATTGACATTGATAGTTATTACTGAAAGTATTGATTTATCCCTGCCATTGCATTATTTTCCTGCCATTGCATTATTTTCATGTTGCTGATTTCCTTACTGTTTTTTCCTTTTCTTTTGCTTCATCCCGTCAGATGTAATCATTCTGTTTGACTTACTGGCATTGTTGTCTTCATTGTATGTTTCTAGGATATCCACAGCAACTTTCTGTGATGCTGGCTTTGTGTTCATGAGTTTCTTGAGGTACTGTTTGTTGTGGAAATATCTTTTTTCTCCATCAGTTTTGAAGGAAAATTTTATAGGATACATAATTTGGGGTTGGAAGTTGTTGTCTTTTGGGTCTTGAAACACTTCACTTAACACCTTCCTGGCCTTTAAGTTGGTGTGAGAAATCCACTGTAACTAATGGGCTCACCATTGCATTTCTGTCTAACATTTTTAAATATTTTGTCCCTGTGGAGGACTTCTGGTATCTTCACTATAATGTTTATTTTTTCCGCATATCTGGGGAGTCGTCTGCAGTTACTTCTATGAACATGTTTTTATGCCGTTTGTCTTGTCTTCAGGTTTCTCTTTTATTCCAGTTCTTAGATTAGTCTTGTTTACATCCTCTAGCCGGGTTTGGATCCATCTTTTCATGCTCTCTTATTTTGAATAGTTGGTTTTTGAAGGCATCATTGTATTCTAGTTCAGAAATGTCCTCACACTGGTCAGTTTTGCTGCACATGTTTGCAGTGTGATTTGTAGTCTCTTGGATTGCTAACTGAAACACTTTTATGAACTCTTAATTCTTTGGAAAACTGGTCACTCAGGTTTTGTATCATTTTCTTGTCTTCTGAAACTTACTGCATCTTTTCGGTTGTTACTTCCATTATCTGTGTATTTATGTCTTCTGTGATCCCATTGAGTACCTCTGTGCAGCTTACTTGTATTGCTAGCAATACTAGACTCCATTCTCCAATCTCAACAAAAAATTCTCAGGAACAAAAAATAATGGCCTATGGTGGTTAGATAGGAGTTTCTTTTCCTTCCTTCCTTTCTTTCTTTTTCTTCTCCTTCCTCTTCTTCCTCTCTCCTTCCTCTTTCTTCCTCTCTCCTCCTCCTCCTTCCTCTTTCTTCCTCCCTCCTCCT